GTTTTACTCAGCCATTTTCATGTGTTGGGACACCATCTCTTTCTTTCCAACTAAGATTTCAAGGAGGTAAGTTGTGTTTTTAGTCTGCTCAAAATTTCATATTTTTTTAGACTGAAATACAGCTTAGATACTACACTTTATAGATTATAGTGGAATTCTATGGTATCAATATAGCAATTTATGATTTTTTTGGTTATTCAAGTGTATATATAAAACCTAAAAAAATTATTTCGTTTCATATCCTCCATGTGCAAAATTTTAAATAGCTTGTCAACCTATGTCAGTTAGCAACCGAGTACAAAGGTTGTAACTAAAAGAGATAATTGTTTACTTTACTTCTTTATTTACTGTTCTATGCTTTTAAGAAAAATAAGTTTAAGAATTTCTTTCTGAATAGTAATAGTCTATATACATATGTAATGAATGATAATGGAAATGTGACTGTATTTTACAAAATACTAGTCTACTAAAACACAGCCAAGACAGGTCACTTTGTAAGACTAAAGGTCAGTTTTATATTATATGGATACATTAACATGAGTGTATGTGCACCGTGTGTATGTGCTTAGCAACCTATGATAAGCGGCAAATGAGTACAAAGTTCATAACTAGGAGAGATAAATGTTTTTTTTACTTTATTTACTGTTCCGTGTTTTAAGAAAAATAAGTTTAGAGCTTATTTGTAAATATTAATATTGCGTATACATATGTAATGTATAATAGTTGAAATGTGACTGTACTTTACAAAATACTAGTCCAGTAAAACACAGCCAAAACAGGTCACTTTGTAAAGACTAAAGATCAGTTATATATTATTGGATAAAGTAACACAAGTGCACATGAGCCGCATCATTGTAACTTCTGTGTTATTAGCTAGGCATGGCTGAAAGGTCAATATAACAAAAAATATATATAAATGTATAATTTTATGAGATTTAAGCTATTTAGTGTAAACCTCTATGTTTTCGTGTAATAATTTGTCATCATTCTAGAATGAAAGAGGCATAATTTATATTTATTTCCTAATTTGTTATGGTGATTACGAGATTGGTCAATTCTACTGAACTTGTACAGAGAATTGTTACTGAAAATAACAGATAAAATATAAATTTTTTTCTTAAGAAATATTTGATAACTATCTGGACATAAAGATTTTATATGTGAAATTTGAAAATTTTCTGATGCATAAAAGT